CTTAGACGGCAGGTTTGCTGCGGCGGGGGTATTTTCTTTTTGTCTTCCTTCAAAACATCAATATTAAAATCGGCCCCCAGTAGAATGTTACGGTTAATTTTATTTAAAATTCGCAACAGTTCATTTAATTTGTCTAGATAGATTTCAGCATTATCAGATGGGGTTCTGTAAAGACCCACAACTAAAAATTTTTCTTTCCCAATTTTAATTTCAGTTATACAAGATTCAAATGTTTTATCTTGATTAAGTGATGTCAAAGAATTAAATGATACATTTTTGAAATTGATATTTGTTGATACCAGTATTAAAACGCCCCCTCCTCTAAAATCAGTTCTAGCAAACCAGGTAGCCACTTGAAACCCAGGTATTTTGAGTGTCATAATTTCATTTTGGTTTAATTTATGTTCCGTTAAAATAATGATTTGCGGCTTTAGTTCTACAATAGTAATAATTAATGAATCAATTCTAGTAGCTAAACATTGTATGTTTTGGTGGAAGACAGTTATGCTAGACTGCTTATTTATGTTTGTTAATACAGCCTTAGTTGCTTTAGAATTAGGCTCAATTACTTCACAGGTAACCCTGGCCATAACCATAAACCATAAACCAGATATTTACTTTGCCTTCACTTTATATATTTAAAATGATGGTGAATTTTAAAATTAATTATTAAATGTACAATGATAAACAAATCAGTCATCCGTATCCTACAACGCTCAAAAAATTTTCAATATCCAAAATTTAAAAATGATTTCAAACAAAACCTTTTACAGAAAAATTATTATTTGATTTCTGATTATTTAAATGTAAGTAAATGTATTTTAATTTAAGCTATGTAGATGGTTTTATTTTCTAGTCTTTTTTATCTTTGACAATATCACATGTTTCACCAGCTAACGCTGGATTTGTGAAATGTTTCGTGATAATCAAGTAATATTTCATTTTATTTCAGAAAAGAAATAGGCGTCTAGTCTTACTTTAAAACAATATTAACCATTTGCCTATGCTTGGGCCGGCGACTTCCCATCTCTGTCCCTCGGGACATTTACTTGGGATGCCCTCTTCCAAGTTAACCCATCTAATAACAAAAGCTCAGTGTGAGCTCGGGATCGGTTGGAGGAGGGCGATATTTCAAGTGCGTGGAGAAACATCCTTTTTTGGTGAGTCGGTGGCTCAGTTGGTAGCGTCATGGACTTCGGGCCTAAGGCAACGATGTTGTGGGTTCGGATCCTGGTCACTGCCACTAAAATTTATCAGAACAGGTCACCTTCGTACTTTACCAGCTCACCCCTTGCTTTGCTGGATACGTTCCACGCACAGATCTGTAGTCTATGTGAACGGGCAAATGCAAGGTTAAAAGAGGCCGCCAACTCTTAAAAAATAAAAAATTACTTTCATCCCATTTCTAATAATCGTATAGGCTTATACGATATGCATTTTGAATCTGATAATTTAAGAATATGACGGAAACTAGTTGTGTTGATTTGAAAAGCCTTGAAGTGAGATTGGTGGCTGATTCACACACACTGGTTTCATACCACCAGTTCAGTTACATACCACCTTCCATTGCATTCCTTCACTTACCGTACATTATCTTACCTCCTTGGCCACTGAAACCTTAAGAGGATTCTGGCCTCCCATTCTCTTCTGATGTAGATCCCAGTTTGGAGATGTCTTCTTGGTCTTTCCACTTCATTCTTGGTCTTCCCAAGTATCGTCTATCTTGTGGTACTCCTTGGAATACACTTTTAAAAGATTATGTATCTCTCCACTGCGGATAGTGGGTGTTTGTACATTTTTTGCCTTCTGTTCTTTTGTATCTCAACCTCTGTTTTAACTGTATCTGTGTCTGTACTTTGAAATGGCCCTTATATTTTCTTTGCACTCTATTCTCAAACCCAGTAAAAAGGTTTTTCGATTCTTTGGTCAGTGCCCAAGTTTTTGAACCATGCAGTACTACTGGGATAGTTATAGTTTGGTATGGATTGATTTTGATTTCTACTGACACGATGCAGCTTAGTCAACAGTTTTCCAGAGACCTACTACACCAGTTGACATTTTCATTACTAACCAAAATTTTGTTATGCCGACAAGTTGTAAGACACTTGCATATTATACTTTATATTACTTTACTTTGAAATGGCGACCATACGAAAGTAGGTATTTTAAGCCAAGTATTAATGGACATGAGTGTAGTATGAGTTGCGCGATCTTGTAGTCTTGTTAGAGACTAAGGGCGACAAATTCCTTAGCATACTTGGGAATAACGAATAGAAATTCTAACAATTATTGATATTCGTTAGTCTTTTCGGCTAACTTCTATCATATTTGTTAATTTTTCAAAAGTACTGGAAATAACTTCTACTCAGTTAGATTCTAGCTAACGAATAGATAATATACTCATTAGTAGTTTTAGAGGTTAAATAGCTAGATTTTTGGATGGACGGAAGAACCTCAAGTACGAGTTTTTTGCGCATTCAGTAAGATTTGAGTGTGGCCATAAGGGTCAGCGCCCTTTGTCACAATCAACGCAGGGGGTGGGGAAAGGGAAAGTCCAGTTGCTTTGGTATGCGCGTAAGCAGTGGGCCCCTGGCAGCCAATAACAAAACTGCAAGTACTGAGGGGTGGGGAGGCGGGATGTTTGTTTGGTGATTTGTCTTTTTAAAACATTGTCTTCATTTAATGTCCTGTCCATTCTCTGACAAGTGTGAAGTTATTTTTTCTGTGGTAGCAGCCTAGACCCATGATAATCAACTCCCGATTAACCGGGTTAAAGTAGGGTTAAGGCTTCCCGGATAAAATCTAGTTAATCGGTAAAATAGTATTAAATCGGAAAGTGTATTAAAATACTATAAAGTATTAAATTATGATAATTAACGTGTAAGCATTAAAACACAACTGAATGTTATATTTGACAGAAATCACAATGAATGACATACGTATTTGAACACAATGACACTTACTTGTGCTGTTTTGTTTTGGTTATTAAGACTGGCTGTCTACATTTAATTTTACATATTTTTCCTGGAAAGTGTCCCTGTACTTGTCCCTGTTAGGCCCCAATGCGGTTAAAACGATTACGGTATTTCGCGAGTTGAGGGTACATGCTTTAAGCTTTTTAAGTGTTTCTTAGTTGTCATATTTTAGTAATAGTTAAGTAATGGGTTTAATAAGTTATTAAGGTAATTTAACAATGTTTAGTTAGTAATAGTTAATAGTTAACACAACTACAAGTTAGTTACTACTAAAATGTGTCATTATTACATTTAATACATAATCCTTTAAAACAACTGCCCAACAAACAACAAACTTCTCCGAAAACTAACTTTATTTTCTATCAGTTAGTTTTTAACTAACTACTGTAATAACTTCTACCAGTTACTTTTTATGGGACTAACTAATAAAAACTTGTAACTAGTTAGAATTTTTGACTAAATTTCCCAACTATGTAAAAAAATATACAGCTGTTAACTAATAGCCATATAGCCAATGGCAACTAAGGGACATACAATTTATAGTGGAATCCGATCCACATTTTTACCTTGTAATAAACCAATTGGTCTAATTATCAGGGTAGTACTGCGAATAGTCGTAGTACTCACTAGTGCGGATGTTAATCCACACCAGGGAGTATCGCATCCACAGTACATGCCTATAAATATCCACAATTTGTAACCTCCAAGTAGCTGGATTACAGGACGACGGCACCACCCCAGTCATCGCTTTATCAAACAAGTTTTGCTAAAAATTAGTTAACATTTGTACTGTACCTATTTATGAACTTATAATTAAAGAGATTGCATTTACAACAAAATTTGATTATACGATGTTTGAGATATATAGTTCAAAATTACACATTTCCTGATAATGCAGATCCTTTACGATAGGAAAAAACTACATTTTAAAGTGAAATCGTGTTTAGGCAAACACTGACTAGCAATATGTTTGTAAACAAATAACTTGTAACATAAACATACAGCACAAGACAAAAAAATAGTATCCGTATCAATCAACCATCGCAGAACTACACTAGCACAGACTAGCCCTCAATACTCAGGAAGCAAAATTTTCAATAAATTACCACAAGAAATAAGATTTTGTGAAGATCAAGCTAAATTCAAGAAAATGCTGAAGATGTTTCTATTAAATAAAGCCTATTATTCAGTAGAAGAATTCCTTGAAGAGTGAAGGCTGACAACTACCAATGACGACCACGGCTGAAAAGCTTCCAGTGGGATAAATACAAGTATGCAAGTAAGTAAGTAAACATTTCAATGACAGTTTGAAACCAGTTGTTGTTAAACCAGGACTGAAACGGCTTTAAATTGTTAGTGTCGGCTGCTAGGCTTTTTACAAATTATAAATTAATAAAAAAAACTCAAACCCTAAACTAAAATTATGGCTTCTACATTCACTTCTTTTTAAAATTATATTTCTTTCAAGACAAAACTAAAGATAATCGATCAAATGGTAGATTCAGAATTGTGAAATTTAAAAAAACCCTGTGACGTGTTATATGATAGCTTGTTTTAGAGTGGTTTTAATTAGTGATTAGTGGGTGAATTAGTGAACTACTTCACCAGTGCTCAAGGAACATGAGCGTCCGTCATGGTGGACACTTCCTCGGTGCTTGTGGTTGATTATTGTCCTATAGTTTGATAACGTCACTTACTGCTGAATTGATGTTTATACATATTTTGTTGTTAAGAAGTATAGATCGCGCCACTCATCCTACACTCATCTCCATTCATACTTGGCTTAAAATACCTACTTTGTATGGTCGCCATTTCATTGAAAAAATAATATAACAAAACAAAAATTTCAGTTCTGCCTAAAATTTATTTAAACATTTTATTATTAGTCAATGTGTCAAACTAACTCATGGATAATTAATTGTGTTAACTGACTAAAGGGTGAAAAATTAATATCTGTCCAAACATTAATATCTCTTGGATTCATTGTTTACGGCCATGGGTAAATATTGAATGAATAAATAAAAATATTACACAATTAAAAGTTTATTAAACAACTTCTTTTGGAATTCAGAAACATAATTGTTGTACACAAGTCATGACTACAATAATGCGTAGGATCAACAAACGCAACCCTTCACTTAATGTATAATGTACTTGATTGCAAATTTGTTGATTGGAAAACAAAATTTTACGTGGGACCAACAAACTTGCAAGCACCTAATAAGGCAGCTGAACCAAGACAAAAGACAAACCTCTTGTAACAATTTCCCCCTAATATGGCCTCAGTGAAATCCAAGACCATAAAATTTAAGTTCCAGGCATACTCAGTTAAATATTAGTGAAAAGTATCCGGCCAAAGTTCTGCATTTAGCATGATCATTGCTCATCAAACATATTAAAAATTATCACCAGTCTTCATTAATGCTTTAACATACACATTTGGGAAAGTATACCAAACAATAGCTTAATAAACAGTCTTATCATATTTACTAAAAGGCACTTCCAAAACTTTACAGTTATACAATAATTACAAAGTATTGTATGCATCTACATGAGGAATTCGTTTGGATAAAATATGTTGTACAATACACTTAGTAGTATATTTACATAAATTGCATGATAATGTTAGTTGACCATCGTGATGATGCTTATTTACATTGGACCACTCACTCTTGAACTTTTTAAAATACAGTAGACCCCCTCTTAACCTATATTAACGGGACCAGTGCTAGGTCGGATAACTCAAAAGATCGGTTAAAACAGGCAATCCCTAAAAAAATAAAAATAATTACTCCTAAATTACTTTTTATTATTTTTTTAAACAAATGAAGTACTATTAATTTGGAATCATATAATCATTATTCTGAAGTTGTGTATGCAAAATTTACAAATTAAACTACACTTCTCTCCTTTTTTTTAGTATTGGCAAAAGAAAAATCACTAATAAACCCAAAACAAGGTAAAGTCAAATACTTTCAGTTAAATAAATTATAGTCAGAGGCAAGAGTCAATAAAAATTCTTTTTTAATACCTTTGGTAAATAATATTAATTTATGCTTTAGAAATCCATCGTAATACAGTAGATACTAAGTAAAAGCAACAATTTTGTTACAAGACTGGATGTTTATTTAAAGCTGAGCGTGGGAGCGGAAATGCTGAGATTCCTAGAAAGCGGCGTTTAATCCAAACTGCTCTCAAAACAAAAACAAACTTAATATTTTACGAGCGAGGGCGGATAATCTGGTTATCGGTTAATGTGAGGCCGATTAAGAGTGGGTCCACTATAAGAACAATGATCTAAATAAAATTAGCAACAAGAGTAATAGTATGCTAGCATCATTTCTATACGTACTATTCAGTGATACATAAAGTTTATCATGATTAAACAATAGTAAAATGTACACTAGCACAATTGCAATAGACAAAAAGATTGACAATTGACAGCTGTCTAAACAGCTGCTTATTTACAATAACAATCTTGAAAATAAGTTTCAAGTAGTTTTGAGGGGTTATCTTTACATGAAAGTATTTTTTCCTATCACTTCGTGGAAATGATCAGCTGTCGATCCGGTAACAACCAGTAAGCAAATAAAATAACCTTAAAAAAACAAAGATAGCCTAAATGGCATTTTATACATCTACAAAGTTAATCTGTCTGTTGTAAAAAGTTAATTAGGGTGGTAGGAAGAATCTTGTGTGTATTACGAGCACCAACAGTCATTGCAGCACTCAGCTGAGCGGCAATGATGTACTTTGTGCTCTTAAGTGTTTTCTAGTTTTCCAAATAATGTTGCAGAATGACAAAAAATTTAGTTCATCACACGGGCAAAAAGTGTCTTTTCAAAGAGTCAGAATAAGTCACATTATGCCACCACTTTCTTAGTGATGAAATATATAGTATTTTAGTCATATAAAAATTTTATGTTGTTTTAAGGAACCACTGAGAAAAAAAAATAATAAGGATGTTTTGCTTTAATTTATGTTTCTAATTACAATCATACACCCCTCAAAACCTTAAATTAATATAAATTTTAGATTACACAATATACAAATACACAACTAAGTAGTAATTTTATATAGTCAATTGGACAAAATGTGTCATTCTAAATGCTTTACATGTTAGGTAGAATTTACAAAGTTGATGTAGGCCTTAGAACACACCCATGTTTGTCAGAACCATATCATCTATGAACTGAGCTGCTTTTCTGCACTCAGCATTAATTCCCATAAGTAGGTCTCGCAAAGTTTCTTTTGTCAGATTTGGCATTTCTTTCTGGAAAATAAGTATCAAACTGAATGCAATAAAAAGACAATACAAATCAAAGTAAATATTGTACAGCATTATTACAAATTAAGATTCTTCTGAAATGTTCAAATCAAGTAGATTAATAGTGTCCTCCATAAAATCTACCCCTGGTTATTTTAGTAGGCATGTTTTTGAGTATATATATATGTATATATACATATATATATATATATATATTTCTAAGTGAATATTAAAATACCAAAGTACTCTATGGACACAGAAAAAGTTTTAAGGGTACTTTTATCTTTTTGCTACTTTTTTTTAAGTAGCCCTCATTTGTGTATATGATAACAACAAAAATTATATATATATACAGGGTTAGTAAAAAGTCTGGAGACCCCCTGTTAATTTTTTAACGGCCCATACTAGAAAAACCAAACTCGGCACACCTTTATGGCATGTTATGAAGTACTTTTTGGGCATAAGCGCTACTGGGTGTACATCCCCAAAATGGGGGATTTTGGGGAAAACTCAAAAATTTCAAATAGTAAGACACATCAAGCGATCCCTCATTTTGAAGGTCCTGGTAAAATAAAACGAACAACGCAAACTAGAGGTCTCTGTCTAAATCCAGTAAAAAATGGCAGTCAATTGAAATTCTCCGAATTTAAATTTAACTTACAGCTTTCCAAGACTTGAGACCCCTTGTAAAGTTTATAACATCTCACATTAGGAAAACTAAACTTTTGCACACCTTTATGGCATGTTATGAAGTACTTTTTGAGCTTAATTGCTACTTGGTTCCCAAACCCAAAATGGGGGATTTTGGGGGAAACTAAAAATTTTTAAATGTTAAGCCCCATCGAGTGACCCCTCATTTTGAAGGTCATGATAAAAGAAAGTTAACAACGCAAACTAAAGGTCTGTACCTTAACACAGTAAAATATGGCAGCCAATTGAATATAAAATTGCAAGTTAATTCTGTTTTCTAAAGATTTCAATCAGCTGCCATTTTTTACTGGATTGAAATAGAGACCTCTAGTTTGCGTTGTTAGTTTTCTTTTATCAGGACCTTCAAAATTATGGGTCGCTCGATGGGTCTTACCGGTACCATTTGAAATCTTTGAGTTTCTCCCAAAATCCCCCATTTTAGGGATGTATACCAAGTGGTGGTTGTGTCCAAAAAGTTACTTCATCACATGCCATAAAGGTGTACCGAGTTTAGTTTTTCTAGTATGGGCCGTTAAAAAATTAACAGGGGTCTCCAGACTTTTTACTAACCCTGTATATAATGAAATGAAATGAAATGAAATGAAATAATGAAATATGCTTTATTGTCTTTTGAATTTGTACAAATCATCGACAATGTCAAGATACAGCTACAATTATAGCATAGTCAGGTAATTAATTAATAAAATACTTATAGCTAACTTAACAAAGGGAGACATATTATAATATATATTCTAAATGAATAATTACAACTGAAGAATCTTATTCTTAAAAAAATCTTCCAAACTATAAAATGGGTTATTGGTCAGCCAACAATAAAATTTACTTTTGAAATCCTTTATATTGTGTAATTTAATTATGGATTCAAGAAAGTTGTACAGTTCAGTATTGTTCACATTTCCAGTATCTTTAAGCAAACTATACAAACACAATAGCCTTTCTTTCATTTGACCCAACTCTTTAGTATACCATCCCTTGTTCAGTTTGTTCAAATACTTAGGTTTGAATAGTTTACCTTTATTTTTATTTGGGACCATAAAATAATTAATATTGTTGATTAGTATATTAAATAAACATTGTAACTGCATATTAGCACTACTACTCTCAGACTTGGACATTAAAGATAGCCAATCATAAGTAGACAATTTTAGAGACAGATGTACATGACTTTTAATAGGTAGATAAAACTGAATGGGATCTTTTGAGACTAAATGAGATGTATTATCTATAACTAATGGTTCATTCTGCATATTAACAATAATTCCATCATGGTCCGAAAAAGGAAATTTGAACAAACTTAAAAAAGAGAGCCTAGCAGATTTTTGGTTTACAAACACATTATCTAGACAGTTTGTGCCTCTAGTTGGTGAATTATTTAAATGATAAAAGTTGTACTGTTTAAATAGATTTAACAAGTTTTTTACATTTCTTTTGCTTTTAGTAACATCAAAATTGTGGTTGAAATCACCACCAATGACAATATTATAGTTGTTCCACTGAGTTATAAAAGGTAAAAAAACATCCAAAATCCTTAAAAACTCCAAAGGTCTACCATTAGGCGAATGATACAAAGAAACAAATATAGTTTTTAAAGAATCTATAAATACGGATGAAACCTCAAAATCCAATTCCTGACAGAATTGGCTTACATCACACAATCTTGAGTTAAATTTAGTATGTACAAATATACAAGTATTCCCTCTTATATGTTTGATTCTATTATAGGAGCTGGCACAATGAAAATTATAAGGAAAAGCTAATTTTATTTCGTCTTCCTTCAACCAGTGTTTAGAGAGACAAATAACATAAATATTTGTGTTAATTAAAAAACTCTCCAAAGCTGAAACCTTGTCTTTTAAACCTTGGACATTTAAATATAAAATATTCAGACTATCATTTCGCCTTGATGAAGGTGTACCATTATGAGCAAGGACCTTGGATGTGTTAAATACAAGGACATAGAGAGTTATATATGTGTCCGTGAACACGATAAGTTAGTTGAGTATTTTTTTCCGATTTTAATGAAATTAGGTTTAAGGGTAAGGCAGGATAAACTTGAATGAGTTCACGAACCAGCATTATCAGACCATGGGAATGGGGTTTTACAGGGGGTTTTATGGCGTACATATCTCTCAATTATCTATTCTTCCTAATTCTCCAGCCTTTTTTTTCTCAGAATCTTGTTTTCAAAAATAATAAGTTTCTTTTCCCATTATTTTGTTAGCGCCTATGTTTCCGATCCATACAGTAGTACTGGAAGAATGATCGAGTGGTAGATTTTAATTTTGGTATTTTTTGACAGAGTTATTGACTTAAGCATATTGATTAGGGACCTGTAATTGCTGAGGCTACAATTTTTCTCTATTTTGAATTTCTTTTTCCTCTTTGTTATCATGTGTTATTGTTATGCCGAAGTATTTAAACTCATTCACATGCTCAAACTCCAAATCTCCAACTTTTAAATTCTCTTTCCGGGCTACTCCTTCGGTTCTAGCTACTTTCATAGTTTTTTGATGGTTTATTGTTAGTCCAACATGGTTGGCTTCTTTTATTAGAACTTTTGTTAAGCTCTCTAGATCCTGTCTGTTTTCTGCAATAAGTGCCACATTGTCAGCAAACGCTAGCACATTTATTTTGGTTCCAATATCAATTCCTGCTGCTAACTGTATAGTCTTATTGAGGGCATCTTCAATACTAAATTAAAAAGGAGAGGTGAAGGAGAGGCTATCTCCTTCCTTGACGCACTCCTGCTGTTACTTCAGAACTTGAAGTCTATTCTCCATTTATTTTCACTTTGCAGCGCAGTGGCGGATCCAGAGGGGGGGCGAAGGGGGACCGCCCCCCCCCTTGGGCATACATAAACATATATTTTTACTGTATGTAATACAGTATTGCATACAAATTGCGTAACATAATTTGTCACACTAACTTTGGACAAAGAAATGGTATAAAACTGCCATTTCGGAGACTTAGTTTACACAAATTTTTCCCCGAACCCCACCAGGCCCCCTGGTTCGCCCCCTTGAGACTGTTCTAGATCCGCCACTGTTGGAGTGTGGTTTTTGAATACACATTCTTGTCAAATTAATAAATTTGTCAGGAATGCCAAACATTTTCATTTTTTCATGCATTTTCTTCCTAAGTACACAATATCATATGCTTTTTGAAAATCAATGAACAGTAGGTGGAATTCTTTATTATATCCCCAATATTTCGAAAGATATTGTTTGATGGTAAATATCTGGTCCGTTGTGGAGCAACCTTGGATAAATCCAGCTTGGTGGTCTTCTATTTTTTATTGTATATATACTTTTGGCCTATTTAGAATTACTTTTTGTTTCTAAGTCTTCCTGTTCTTGGGCTTGAAATTGTTTTATTTTTGCTTGAAGGTCTTCTGAGCTGGTTTTTTCTTGACATGCTGAGGTTGTTTCCACCCCTTTGAAGTTTACATTCCTTGCAGCTCCATGATTTGTAACCAGCTTTAATGATTTTTTTAAAATCACTGGTTGACATTCCAGTACATTTAGAATGGAACCACTTTCTGCAAGGACCTGTGCAAACTATTGCTGAGTCCCTTGACTCCAAGATTACATGCACCATAAAGGAGTCTTAGACATTGTTTGATTTTAATGGATGAAATTAAGTACACAGTTTTCAGAGTTTGTTTTTAAAGAAAATATTGTGTTTTATAGAAGGTATAATAGTTAATTAAATAATGTGAAAAGGCAGTTTTTTGTTTGAGGTTTGGCTGGTTTCTCAGACTAAGTTAAAATCCATCATAAGTAATATAAAATGGGTCCAGTTTTTTCTTGGAGGTTTGGCTGATTCCTCAGATTCAGCTTGATTAACTGACAATCAAGTGTCATGTCAATGTAAGCAGATGTTCTGTGTAGGTAGGCAGAGTGCCTAGGTCACAGTTGCTTAGGTTTCAAGTGTAGGACAGAGTTTCTTCTTCTGCAGAGTCCGCTACCAATTTTTATGACACCCTGTATAAAGGTTACAAAGAAGGTAGATGCGTAAAAAACTTACTGGCGGAAACTTACCGCAATAAACTTTAAGAGATACAATGTTGGGCTCCATCTAGTGCTCAGTTGGTGAAGTAACATGTCCTCAAATAGTGCAGGGTGATTTTTTGCCAAAGCTTCAAAAAGGTTCAGCCAGTTACGATTGTCATCCAAGATTTGACAAAAAGGACTAATAGTCTGTTTATCCATCAGCTTCAATTCAGCAACTGCAACAACAATGAAATTAGTTTAACAATTTAGGTAGGCATGTTTAGCATCAGTTAAGCTTTCAACAGTAACCTGTCATGAGGGCATTTAATTGCTACTTGATTGGAATCAAGTGTAAAAAAGAACAGGTGGAAAGTAAAACAAATATTTTATATTGTAACATTAAGTCAAAAATAACAATTCTTAAAGCAGGAAACCCACAACATGATATTTTTGACAACATACACAATGAATACAAAACTTTACAAAATACAGGCTGGCAAATTATCTTGGTGACTATGACATCTTTCATACGAAGTTTCAACGATTTAAATTAAGTCTAAATAGGCTAAATGTCAAGTTATTTTGAAGCTAGACATTGAGTTTTGGTGCCGTTTTCATTGGCATCTACCACTTCTAACCTGCACTAAGATGGCGGACCTGGCTTCAACTGCTTGTATGTTAGTTAGATAGGCGTGCTCCATCTATTGGTCTTATGTGATTGTTGATTTAAACTAACGGAATTCTGATGAAAATTTTAACATGAATTATTAGCAGTTTTGCAGGGATGATAAACAATAGTTTTTTTTTTTTTAATTTGAATTGCTTGTCAGTTGGCAACAAATCTTAGAGATGTGTATACATTTTTTAGGACAAAATTGAATTGGCAGATATCATGGTAAAGAAGCGTACTAGAAAAAGTTACTGTCGCCTCATCCAATTTTTACAACAGTCAGCTGTTGACATGCTAGGCGAGCAACCGCGACAGTGAGGACGGGGAACAGCTTATTTCATGTTCCTCGTTGGCAAATTGTCTGCTAGCTACTAACATACACATGCATAAGCCATCAGCGGTAGCACAGTAGCCTCATTGACTATATAAACACTTGTGTTAAGGTTTAAATACAGTAGTCAATGCTATAACTGAATTTGATACTATACATATTGTTACTAATATATGAAATGGAGAAAAACGTTACCTTAAAAATACAAAATTTCCCAATTTATATCCAGACCTTTTTAAATAGCTTAAAAAACAAATAATTTTGTATATCAAAGTGTTTTTGTACGGTTATTGGTAACAGGACAAATTCAAAAATTGTAAATTTAAAATTCCCATGTTATTCTTATAAAGAATATTGTAAATTGTTGTAGTTTGCTTGTTTATGGATATATTTTGATCAAACTTGGCAAATTTATTTAAACCATTACAAAACTATTTGGATCATGAACGGTACTCTAGTTTTCTCAAAGTGGAAACGTGAATTGGAATTTTGACAGAAACAATCAAACAAACGTACAGATATTGACATAAGACTCGTTTCGGCTTTCTTATTATATAACACGTAGAAATAACCAAACATGGATCTATCATAACCATTCATGAATCTACGCAATGTACAGACAAAACAGTAAAGACTTTATAATCTTATAATTAAGTATAGTGTTTCTGCCCATGCTTCGCAACGGGGTGAGAATCTTTGGGTCTCTAAATCCACCGTAAAAAATAGTATATTTCGTACCTAGGGCCGAAAGCGAGGTTTTGCCGACTCGAGATCAGGTTTCAAGTTTGAGACGAATTCGAGAACGTGAAACGATCGAGAGCTGCAAACCCATTTTGGCTCGTGGTACGAACGCTATTTTTTACCCAAGTATGTTTTGCAATATAACGTCCCTCTTATTTATGTGAAATATTTTGAGGAATCAGCAAAATCAAAAATAACAATAAATAGTTGTCTAGGCAGCAGTGACAAAAAAACAAGTCTATTGCAATGCCATGGATACAGCTTGTGCATTTAATATAGCCTACATTAATCTTTTAAGTAAATAAGCGATCAAGTGATTTTGCGGCCCTAGGGATGTAAACGCCTGCTCGGCCCCTATATGAAGATGACATATATAGGCTTACCTCCGTCAGTAGTCCAAAATTGTGTCTTTTTCAACTAATGTTGTTCAAAGCTTACATGTTTCGTTGCACTGCAACATCGTCAGAGCTTTTTGTCAAAAACATCAAATGATTTACACATAAAACAAAACACGGAACACGAAACATTTAAACACGTAATAACACGATAGCGCTATCGACACGGCACGGCAGCGGTTGTAGGTAGACTGGACACGGGTTAAGTAACTTCGTCCCGTCCTTCTTCGCGAAGTTACTTAACCCGTGTCCAGTCTACCTACAACCGCTGCCGTGCCGTGTCGATAGCGCTATCGTGTTATTACGTGTTTAAATGTTTCGTGTTCCGTGTTTTGTTTTATGTGTAAATCATTTTATGTTTTTGACAAAAAGCTCTGACGATGTTGCAGTGCAACGAAACATGTAAGCTTTGAACAACATTAGTTGAAAAAGACACAATTTTGGACTACTGACGGAGCCCAGGGGCTATCAGAATGAATAATATGAAGATGACAGCTGGCATGGTCAGAAAAACATAACTTTCAGCCACCAATTAACGTATGTAAAACAGCTAAAACATTATAGTGTGGTGAAAAATTCGTTACACATACTTTTACATTACCATGAATTAATTATATGCATACAGAAAAAACGGAATCACTCTTATTGCGTATTTTAAGGTAAATTTCTTGTATATTCCCATGAAACTGATAATTTACCCAGCACATTAAGGCCTTTAATCCAAGTATCTAAGTTCGTAAACCATACATATAATGTGGCGATAAAATATCAACGACATAGGATGTAGTTTTATGTAATCCTCACGACATTTCATTTGGTCCATTGACTTTAAATCCAATAATTGTCAAAATTATTGGAGCTTGGAAAAAACTGCATGTAAAAAATCGTTACACTAATAAAAGACGACGTGAGGAGCGCGGGCAATGAGCTACAGCGGCTAGAGCATAGCCACATGAATACAGAACGGAATGAAGGAATTAGAACAGAGAACTGGCAACAGCACACGCGAGAAGTAGGGGGGGCGAACACACCGCGCAAGCGCTACAACGCATTAGTGGCATCCTGTCCACACACTGTTGATATATACCGATTTGTGGCAAGGTGCCACAATTAAAAACTGGAATGTTAGATGTTAAAATGGAGTGTTCATTAAAAATATCGATGCACACATGTTTCTACCACCTTCCTTCATCCACTGGTGGCCGCAGTTTGAAAGATGCCACAATTAGGTGTTTGCGAGTATGCGGTAAAACCCCGTATGTGTGTGTGTGGGTGTGTGGGCGCGCGCGTGTGTGTGTCTGAATGCATGTGTTGGGAATGATACATTGTGAGTTCCGATGTATGGATACACACCAACAACGTGAGCTCCGTTTTCAATGTGAGTTCCGACCCCCCGGAGCTCGGATTGAGAAAGCTTCTGATTCATTGTTCTGATGACTTCGGCATCACGGAAATACCCGAAATAACTCGACATAGGTTGGACCTCACTTTACTGCTTTTTACCAAAGTGTGCGAGTGCAAGAGCTTCCTGGACTCGACACCACGTCGCGCTACGATCGCTTTTACACACTACGATGCACACCAACTTAGTTCATACAGCCAATGTGAGCTCCGCCATTGTTCTGACTTCCGCCCCGCAATCCGTTGTTTTCAGCACGTTATTCTCGTATTTATTGTGCCAGGACGTGTTCCAGTTCGAATATATACATCGAGGTTGTGTCTATACGCACTGAGGAGGGGGAGGTAGCTTCGTCATAACATTGTTGTAGTCTGTTGCGTTCTCCAGCTGTGTTTACGGCTGGAATTAGAAATAGACTGCAAATAAAGATAAAGATAAATGACACTGACCAAAGCCTACTCTCAGGCTCCCCAGGTACTTATTTATTATTCTAGTTGCTCTACCAATTCTCTGAATCAGTAATCAATAGTCAGCTATCTTGAAACAGCTGTACCCGTCTTCTGTTCTTTACCATGCTAAATTGTATCCACAACTGTTTACATTTCATGTCAGTATTTAAAGTTACTGTACTTGTAATTCGGGACGTGATTTTTATTTCCTTCCCAATTTTCGGGGTAAAAAAACTAGATTAAATATTATTGCAGATAGCAATAATAATGAGAAACAAAACCAATTTCCACTGTAATAAAAACAATAATGGATAAAAATACACAAGTAACAAGATCTGTTGTTGACTAAACAATTTTAATTCCAAACCAACTCCAATTAACTGTGAAGCATCAATCTAATTATAAACCACTGCTTGCTAACCTTAAATTAAATAGGTATTTCACACGAATACATTTTAAAAAAACTGTGTAAAGCCTTAAAGCCTGATAAATGGTTGCTTGTAGAAAAGCAGTAGAGTTTTTAGCACGCTAAATCATAAATGTTTTAACGTGTGCCTTTCGCAATGTCATTATTTTTTCATGACTTTAATATGCTTTAATGGTCAGTTGTAGCATAATTGTGATTAACCCATTTGTACCGTTTATTTATTTACCAAAAATCCCAGTATCACTGAAACATAAGAAATAAAAAAATATTCATTTGACTATTTTTTATGATGATTTATAGTATTTTATAGCTGAAAATAATAATAAAATATTTATTTTTATATTATTTTGAATTTTGTATGTATATTTATATGTATTTAGGATTAGGATATGTTTACACTATTTTATATATTTCTTAAAAAAAAAAATAGATACAAATACCTGCCTGAAAAAATATTAGACTATTTTTTATTTTATTTTATGTATTTTATAGCTTAAAATAATATAAAACATATAATGTATATAAAATTATATATTTTATATGTATATGTGTTTAGGACACGTTATCACTATTTTTCATACAAATAGTTAAAGCTGCCTGTATTACGTAAATATGAAATCATCGAAGGAACATAATATTTTGAAGAACAAATTTAAATATTATATGTATATATTGTAAGTATAAATGGTTCATTTTTTAAAAAAACCAAATTTTCTAATTTCATGGATGACGTACCAGTATGTCAGCCGTGATACTGTACATCACTGACTTGACGTACTGGTACGTCATCCGATGCAAATGGGTACCCCATCTCCCGCGATAACAGATTCTTCGTAACTATGTTCGCCGCGCTATATTCAGTTTCCCAGCTGTCACGATTGTTATTTAGTCAACACTTCTCGCAGTGTCGGCGCCTGATCCACACCACAACATATCCTATGCTCACTGCCGGATCGTCAACATGACCGCGGTCAAAGCGCCATCTGAACATCTTCACGTTCATGGCACCATCGCCAACATGTCCCACGCTCATGGCACAATCATCATCATGTCTCACGGTTGTGGCACCATCGTCAACATGTCTCACGGTCATGGTGTAATCTTCAACATGTTTTGCGGTTACGGTGCCATCATCAACATGTCTAACGGTCACAGCGTTATTGTTAACATGTTTTGCGGTCATGGCACCAACGTCAACACGTCTCATGGTTACAGTGTTATCGTTAACGATTTTTGCGGTCAAGGCGTTATCGTCAACAACGTATCTTGCACTCACGGTGCCATCGTCGACTTGTCTCCATATCACGGGGTTAACTTCAACATACCTCGTGGCACAGAAAACATACTATTCGGCGGATCCAGGAGACATCATCATTGTCTCCTGGGTCCGCCGAACCATTGTGAAATTCTCTTGCAATCACGGAAGTGTCATCATAGTCGCTTGCGACGCACCGAATCCCATCCCGATGATCGGAAATATGTTCCGAACTGTCCATCCCTCTTATGAAGTAATAGGGGATTTTAAGGAAGTATATAGCATACGTTACTCCAAATGGATTTCATTTGCAATTTATTTCTTAGATTTTCCTTTTGGAATATGCCATCCCAGTTATTGGGGTGTCGGGTCACTCGGGTCAGTTCAATTTGTGTTGTTGCGAGTGTGTGATTGACCTCCAATTTCCAATCTAAATATTGTTATAGCAACTTTCCGTAGAACGAAGAGGAGTATTGGTGTTAGCTTCGAACTTACCATTCCCGCAGCTCACATTGATCATACACTATACCGGAGCTCACATTGAGCATACACATTACCGGAGCTCACATTGAGCAAACACACTTCCGGAGCTCACATTGAGCAAACACACTACCGGAGCTCAGATCGACTTACATACCGGAGCTCACATTGCATTACAAAATCCAAGTTGTAAATTTTAATCAAACCTTAAGTTTTGAGTGTCCACAGTTAAATACAAAACATCTTTAAACAAATTGACATATATTTTCTTGAAATAACCTCTCCTTCTACAGGACCTCACATTACTGTGTAATACCATGGAGCTCACATTGGTTGCCAAACTCGTATGTGTGGATTTTACAGAGCTACAGACCACACCTGTGGTCCGATTTTGATAAAATTTGGTATGTGGTTGGGTACCAATCCATAGTATCTTCAGGTGTTTTTTCTTCATTTTTACAAAATATTGATACCATTTATTTTATATAATAACACAATAGATGCAAGCTGGAGACGGATAGAGGAGAGCTATTGTCAAGGTCAAAAACCTTCTTAGGTGGGTGTATAGGAAAGGTAAGATTCTAATGAAATTAAAGTGACTGATTATTATAAAAAGCCCTTCAGATAAGTATAATTAATTAAATAAAAACTGCTATACCTGATTTCCAGTCTTGTGCATGGGCTGATAAGCTTTCATCCTGCAAAAGATCATAAAAAGTTACATCAGTGTACAGCTTTGGACAATTAAATTTGAAATTTATATAGTTATTGCAATCACTAAGATAATTAACCAGATAAGCAAAGATAATTCACCAAAGGAGCGAAGATAAAAATATTCAGTTACTTTACAGTTATCAGGTATATCACTGAGCCGTGACTACTTTCCACCGACGAATGTCATGACTCATTTTCTGTTTCAATGTTCAAGTTGTTTAGTATAGTATGTGTTTTGCCATGTAACTGTTCGACATGCCTAGTGAATCTGTGTGTCACACACTTCTTCTTACTCCTGCCTGTAATTAAAGGCTCAGCGGTGTGTCCACTATCAACATTGTATCACTTTACATCCAAGTTATTTTCTCATATAATGTTTTATTACGGATATTTTCTTCATCAGAGTGACACATTTTTATCGATGGAATAAGTTTACTCTGCCGCTGGCACCTGTTGGGGCTCCGGAGGAGGACTATGGAGTAGGCCACATCAACCTCGGCAGAGGGGAAGTTCACACCCTGGCTGACTACTGGACAATGGCCCCCCTCTCTACCCTGCTTTGTCGCCCCTCCGGTGCTGTGCACCCGCCCACTATAAACTTGAAACCGTCCTACCGAAGGTTTTGAGAGATTGTGTTATATATATTTTTTAGATTTAGATTTTATTGTTGTTGTTGTTGTTCTTTTAGATATTTATTTAAGCCCAACATACTAGGTACCGTAAATGTAATTTTTTTTTCCAAATTTCATTATCTAGCCTATTTATTAACTATTTGCTTTATTTATCTAAAATATGGGGCCCCTAAAGTTATTAATTTTTTACCAAGACTAAATGCTTTAAACAGGAATATCTTAAAACTGTTTTAATTTTGGTAATTTTTTTAAGTTAAATCTATTGAATTCTTTCCATGATAATTTTTTTGATAAATTAAAGTACTAGCTGTGAGCTAGTAGGTTAGATGGGTATTCAAATTTGGAGTTTTTTCAGAAACATGAATTGTTGTTGATAATTATCGTTGTTGTTTGTTTATTAATTGTTATTACAGCTTGTTTCTCTCAAATGGTGCGTTCTTCCAGAACCTTCCTCCACAGGTTTTCTGGTTGTTTGGTAGTTTTGTGAGCCACTCCTCGTCCCTGCGCATGGAATCATGGTTCCAAGTAGTTTGTCTGGGTTCAGGTGCGGGGGCGTGGTTTAGATGGTAGCAGAGCATGGTTCTTTGTTTTTTTCTTGCGGTAAAGGTGGCATGCTTGGGCAGGTTTTTTTCTTTTGGGCCTCATCAAGTGCGTAGGCATTCACGTCCAGAAGCCTTAGGAGTCAAGTTGTGATCAAGTGATGTTTCTTGTTGAATGTGTTGAGTTTGATACTGACTGGGAGCAGGATGGGGGGTTTCGAAATGTTGTGTTGGGGGGGGGGGAGGAGGAGATAGGGGCGCAGACTCGGAAGTTTGTTTGCACCTCTGCCTCACCCTGTTGCGTCTGTTTTAAGTGGGTTTTGTCATGTACATTGTATTCCAAAAGATGTTATGAGTTAATAAAGAATTTCAATTTGAATTTTGAATTAAAAACAAAAAGGACAATATGAAAATTAAAGAACGAGACAGATCTGTACACTATATCAGATATTTCTTTTCTTTATAATTTATTATATAAAATACTAAAATATATTTGAATTAGGTATGGAATAAATGATTAAACTACTGTCGGGGAAATAAATAGGTGCACTCGAGTTTGAGCCTAATAATCTCTGAGATGAATTATCCGATTTTGTTGAAACGAAAATTAAATGTAAGCTTGTTTAAATACATTTTACGTGGTAACAAACATTAAAAAAATTTCCGTTTACTAGAAAAATTTATATAGTTGAAAGATCCTAAAAAGTACCGGTTTTTAAGAAACTCTCCACCAACACTGAAGTTTAAAAATTAATTGTAAACAAACCACTGAGCCAATCTTTCTGAAATTTTTATGGCTTATTGGTAGGTTTATTGTTAACATTTCCATGCACTTTAAAGTTTTTACTCACAATAGTTTTTATGCTGCTGTTCATTTTTAAAACGTATGCTAACATCGTTAATAAGCCGCTAAAAATGTCGTTCAAAATACCATCGTGTTTGTCATGACACAGGAAATAACACCAATATGACAGATTTAAAATGCGAACAAAGGTGTTTTTTAAACAGATTTATATTTGTAAACAAAAATTTCTCCCGAGACTGGCAGCGGGCCGCCTGGTGTTTGTACGATATTTCCCAGCCGGGCGGGAGCGCGGTGAATCTGCGACGTTGCCGATGTGTACCTGGCCACCACACTGACATTGCATCGGTATTCACTCATTTCGTATAAGACTATAAACGGATGAAACAATTTAAAAGCCGGTTTTACTGTGACATTTGTTTACAAGATGATTTTTCACATTAAAACTGCCAGAATTTGCCTTATGAGTGTTAACACTGTAAACTAGTTGTACTAAATTATTTAGAGGTAAGATTTTAACTGACAACTCGATCTCCTTATGTAGGACCGGTCCACACCTTGTACTATATTATATAAGGGTTTCTGTAATTGCTACAAGTATTTGGAACATATTATGTTGAACTCTATACTACCGATGAATGTTACATCACTAACAGAACACTCAGTTTCTCCTTAAATTGATAGTGTCAGTTTTGTGTTGGTAAGAACTGTGCTATATGATATAACAATTTATTTTTACTATCTATAAAATGATAAATAAGTTATACAAAAATATGTAAAGAAGCAATTAGTACTTAAATATTCTCATAATAATATAGGCATATAAATCTATAACTTACCACATCGTCAACCATCTCCACCTCATCTTGAGCGTTTTCATAATCATCCTCCTTCAACTCATCTGACTTTTGGCTTATTTTTGGGTGTACTAGTAATGGGTCTGCCTGTTTCACAACATTTGACAGTTAATCTTTTTATTACAACCTCATAGTATGATTGTTTGAATAAAAATAAAAAAAAACGCAATGATATGCACGTGATAGTAATATGCCATTTATTTCAGTTCTTGACAAACATATCACTAATTGACCTGTTGGTCAATTTTGCACCTACGTTTTATGATCTTGAATCCATTCTAAGATGTACATTTGAGAGCATTTAAGACAAACAAAAAAAACAACAGAGTTATTTAAAAAAAACTGAGAGTGGATAAGAACCACAGTAGTATCAAATAATTACTGTATTCAAGTTTTTATGAGAATACAAGGATTGATTATTTCCAAGAACTTGGTTAAGTTCCAAGAATCTTATTGATTGTTTGTACCTTGTCTATTGTTGGTTGATTTAATAGTAGTTTACGCAACGATTGAGTAAAGATAGTGTTAACGACAGGAGTAGAAAATTTAAGGTACGAGCCTTGACGAGTGCCTTAAAAACTTCTATGAGTGTCATTAACACTATTTACGCGAGTTGCGTACACTACTTTACCTACGGCAGTGTTTTAAATACTAATTATCACTACTCATAACTTCTAAGAGAAAGAGAGGTTAGGTTTTCGTTTATAACCTCTCATTTCCACTAACAGTGATGCAACGAAACATTGTACCAAACACTAATTGCACCACTCAATAATTAAATTGGCCTGAACCTGAACAGATGATTAGTAGGTGTTCAAATCATTACAATTTTACTACTTCTCTCTCAATCCTTGAACCTCATTGGTCCCTTACCCGTATTGTTATGAGTAAAACTATCCTGTAATGAAAGTAAACAATGCTTCTATGAGAAACTTTTCAATTCTAAGAACTGAACTGAAACGGCTACTTTAAAAAAAAGGTCGTAGGTAAATATGTTTATGTTTCTTATATTTCTAAATATCTTATATCTTATGATTTCGTATATTTAAGCCTATGAACAAGAATAATTAAGATATTCACTTTGCAACGAGCTATAGCAAGAAGGCTTGTGTAATGACCCTCAAGATGTATGAGTAAGGCACTATTTATTTGGCTGTCCTAAATAATTAGGTCTAGGTCTGGGTAAAACATACTGTACAAATTGATGATGATAAACTAATGTTTTATGTGTTCATGTCAACTTCGAGAAAAGAATCTTACTCTGTGGTAGTTAAATTTTGCATTCTAAATGTCTTGTGATATTAACTTATCCCAAAAACACCCAAAAGCTTATCCCAAAAGTCTTGACTGCTTTGTTACTGTAATATGTTTTATATATGATATATGTTTTTTTCATGACTGTTATGCCCAATGACAATAAAGGGTTTGATCAGATTGTTTTTATATATTTATCTTAGAACAAACAAATAATTAATTAATTGAAGATAATAATAATTTTTAGACTGACAAGAAAGATGCTCAATTCATTTTGTATTGATCATGTCTAATATGTCACAACTAGTGATGGGTCGATACCACTTTTTAAAAGACGGTACCGGTTCCTAGCCAAAATCAATTCTTGGGTCTGGTACCATCGTACCTAATTTTAAATTTTTAGGATAGGCTACTTAATTTTTTGTTTTTATAACAAAATATCCAAATTTCAATTTTACAGTACTTTGCATTAGTATAGGTTGGTACAAAACTCTAGGGATTAAGAAAATAAAACTTATTAACAAAAAAAAAACGTACCTAAATAACTTAACACATTCAAATCAAATTTAATATAGCAGAAGTGTTAAAAATATTTGATGAAATTGGTGATACCAAAATTATATTAGTTTTACCAAGTTTTCTGAATCGATTGGTTATACAGTAGACTCCCTCTTATCCGGACTCCTCGGGACCGAGGCCAGTCCGGATAATGGGTTATCCAGTTAAACCGACGTCCACAAAAACTCTTTAAAACGGACCGTTTACTGTGATATTCAACTTAAATTTAGGAGAGCACTGTATTTAGACACGTGATCACACGTCTCAAATCTTTCCCACGAGAACAGTCGTTTCAGTATCGCCAACTTCCTGCCCATCTAGTCCTGTTAAACCATTGTGCTGATAAAAATTGTCCAGTTAAAGAGATGTCATTTCCGCCGAGTGTAGTCCGGTTAAACCGATGTACAGTTAAAAGGTGTCCGGATAAGAGGGAGTCTACTGTACTACAACAACCCCTGTCTTTTTGTATTTCTATTAAGTATTTTTGAGATAGGCTACTAAAGTGTTTTTCAAGTGAAAAATGTATGCAGCAATGAAACTTTCTAACTAGCCAATTTCCATGTCTAAACCATTCTTATCACGTCTAATAACTACCGTATTTCAGGTACTATTTAGTGATGTGCCACCCTGATATTTCCAGTCTGGCCAAACTCAAAGTAATACCGTGATAATCGTCGTATTCTGAGATTACTGCAAAATCCTAAACATTTTTTTCAATTACTGAAACATCTTCACGGTTTTTCACGGTCGCGGCAAGATCATGAACGTCTCCCGCGGCCATGTAAACATCATCATGAACTACCGCGGTCATTGAAATGTCTTCGTTGTCGTCTGCGATCGCAGCAAAATCATGAACACGTAGACGTCATCATCATCTCCCGGTATAACAGTAACGAAATTGTCCGTGATCGCAGTTGTGGAAAAATCATCATTGACTCCCGCAGTCAAGGAAACGTCATTGCCTTCCGCGATTGTGGTAAAACCGTGATTGTGGTAAAATCATGAACATCTCCCGCGGCCTCGTTGACAACATCATGAACTCCCGGGATCACAGAAACGTCTTCGTCGTCGTCCAAGATCGCGGCAAAATCATGAAAACGTAGACGACATCATTGTCTCCCAGTATCGCAGTAATGTCATCGTCCGCGATAGCAATCACGGCAAGATCATGAACATCTCTTGCGGCCATTTAGACATCATCGTCTCCCGGGATCGTGGTAACGTCATCAGCGATCGCAGCAAAATCATCTCCCGCGGTCATGGACACGTCATCGTCGTCTTGCACGATCGCGGCAATATCGGTAATTTTCCGCCATTATCGGTACCGACATTTCACCATCGGTTGACGTGAAGTACTGAGCCATCACTAGTCACAACCATTGTAGCCCAAATTGTAAACATTGAGCTTGAAATTATTTTCTTCCCTAAGCTTGTCAACAAACGTATACACATTTACTTAAGTCTATGGATTTTATAACTACTAGCAGCAAGCGTAACTTTGTAACTTCATAATCTGTAATTAATTGAATTAATTTACAATAATTTATTGCACTGAGTTAAGTTGAAAATTATCTATTTTTTAGGTGATATTCATTAACTTTTAACTTATCACTGACTTGTATTTTTTTAAGCAAACCTTGAACATAACTTTGTAACAAAATCTAACGTAGTAATTTTCTTCTTTACATTATATACAAATAACATTACAATATTTTACTTGAATTTGCTAAAACATCACCAACAGCTGGATAACCCCATTTTTGGATGTAAACAACATTGTATCATGGTAATCTGTTTTGATGTAAACAATAACAAATGTAAACTTGAAAAAGTTCAGATGATTGACAACAGAGTTCAGCACAAACTCTGAAATTTTAAAAGCCTATAGGACGAAGGGCTTTCATGGAAAATCATCCAAACCCGCAAAAGGCACATCTAGTGAATAAGAGCTTTAAATTGATACCCAATATGCCTATAAAAATAAATATTTAGGGGTTGATTTGCAGAATACAAAAATCCAACGAATTCTTTTAATAATATAGATCCTACTAATATTATAAATGAGAAAGTTTGGATGTATGGATGGATGTATGGATGTATGTTTGTGACAAGTGAACGCGAAAAATACTGGTCGGATTGGGCTGAAATTTGGCATGATGATAGCTCACATTCCCGATTAACATATAGGCATATTCTTATTTCAAAAATCCTATCGGGCTCCGCCCCAGTGGCTCTGGAGTTTCCCATGTTAACCTTATGAGAAATGGAATTATTGAATCTTAACAGCTGTTTCAATTAAACAAGTTTGTTCTGTTCTATGATGTTCAATAGCATTAAAGTTACACAAGGATTACCAACAGGGTGCAGCACTATTATTTCTTTTACATTTATGACAACAGCTAATTTGCAACGAAAAGGTGAGTGAGCGTAGCGAACGAACTTCAACCTAAAGGTGAGTGAGCGTAGCGAACGAGCTCCATTCTAAAGGTGAGTGAGCGTAGCAAACAAACTTCAACCAGGACGTGATTGAGCCATGCGAACGAGATAATCTTGAAAATTAAGAAGTTAAACGGGGCAAAGCCCGCGGGTTCAGCTAGTTCTTAATAATTTTACTGGTAAATTGAAACAGATGATTCCAAAAATAAATTGTTTTGAGTTAAATGGTTGAATTTACTGTAAACACCCTAATGACTTTTTGTTTGTTACCGTACATTTCTATGTATATAATTGTTAACACAGTATCAAATAACATGATAGGAATAAATAATTTAAGTGCCGACCTTCAAATCAAATCCAATTTCATTGTCACAAAACGTTTATACATAGCATGGCTACAAAACGGATGACATTGTCAAATTATAAGAAATACATTTAAACCACCATTTAAGCCGGTTTAACATTGAACTAAGATATACTCAAATACTTTTATTGCACATTTACCTTATTCTTTAGCAGTAGTTCTTCAATTTTTAAATCCTCACTTGTGTCAAATGAAACATAGGCCAAAGGTGTTTTGTCTTCAAAATTTTTCGCATTGACATCGACACATTCCGTCTGAAAGAAAGAATTAAAGTTTATACAAACAACACAGTTCAGTACAAATATTACAGTTATGTTGCTTTTATTTACGTGCTAATAATATTTATAAAAAACTAAGCAACTAAAAAACTCTCCTAGGCCACACTATTATATTTATGAAAAATATAGGAAAAGTACCCATTATAACTATTTGATGTATGCAAGAAATGAAACATTTTCCTCCTTAGAATGATACCTTACAATCCAAGCAAATGTGTTCCGGTTAAGGTAACATCCACTTCTCTTTAGTCAAGATACAAATATTGCAACAATTTGAAAATTATAAACATAAAAATATTTTATGTCAGGGTCTTTTTTCTTTTATACTGGGCGTTCCCTATGAAATGAGCCTCTAGTAGCAAGATATACGAGGCTTATCCAGAAAGTAAGTACCGTTTTTAAAAAAAACATACAGATAATTTTTTTAACAAAATTTATTTCTACAAGAAAGAATTTATTTCTACATCTTAAACCATTTTTCTACATAGTTTCCACAATTGTTTAGACGTTTGTCGTAGAGAGGAACCAGCTTTCCTATACCCTCTTCACAGAAAGATGCCGCCATTGAAGAGAAACATTGCCGTAAGCATTTTCGGAACCCAGCAGGAACGCATCTTGCGATAATTCAAGTGATTAACCACAATATCATGCAAAGAGATTTAGAATGTTTTGGAAATTCATCAGAAAGCATTCTTATTGTGAAACATGTGTTTTCACACATTTTTTTCATTCACTTTTTTAACCAATTCCTGACTCACAATAGATGATTGCCCGCTGCCAGCCTCGTCATGAACATTGGTTCGCCCATCATTGAATTTCCGAACCCATTTTCTTAACATTCCATCACTGATAACTTTTTCTCCGAAAACTTCTGTACGTCGGCGATGAATTTCAGGCTTCACGTTCCTTGCGTTCGAAAATCGTATTACAGAACGCACTTCACAGTCTACGGGATCAGAAATTGTTTCAAACATTTTGGGTGTACACTAACGAATGTAAACACAACTAAATTTTGCCGCTATTGCGTCAGCTGTTCAACAATGAACCTCAGTGATTTAGGCAATGAGACTTGGTATGATGTTTACCAGTCATCTGTAGATAAAAAGTATGATGCATTTTTTTCTATTTTTAGTTACATTTTTGATGTTAATTTTCCCAAAGTTTTAAGTGCAGATGGTGGATATAGTAAATGCAAATGGAATTCAAAGGAGTTATTTAAAAAAAGGAGTGAGTTAAATGAACTGGAAAAGCTAGGTAGGATAAGACAAAATTTTGACACATATCAAAAGATAAAGGTTAAGAAAAAGGAACTAAAAGAATCAATACACCAAGCCAAACAAACATTTTATAATGAGAAAATAAAACACTCTTCTAATAAAACTAAAGCAACGTGGAACATAATTAAAAGTGAAATAAAGCTTAACTCAAAAAGTGATTTTACCAGCAACATTCCGATATGTATAGAGCAAAATGGTAAACTCCTTAAGCATCCAGTAGCTGTCAGTAACAACTTTAATAATTTCTTTGTATCAGCTGTGGAAAAGCTTATATTGCCACACATTTCTCCTTCACTTACACAAAAAACAGATATCCAGAAAAATATTTTACCTACAGATAAGTCATTTAAGTTTCACACAATAACAGAAGAACACCTCACTAAAGTGGTCCTTTCCTTTGAAAACAAGTACTCTGCAGGTTTTGATGAAATTCCAATCACCATAGTTAAAAAATCAATACACATTATCCAGAAACCACTAACACATATCATAAACTCTTCTCTTATTTCAGGAATCTTTCCATCAAAATTAAAATTGGCTAAAGTTATTCCCATTTTTAAAAAAGGTAATAAAACTGATCCCTCCTGTTACCGCCCTATATCTCTCTTACCTGTTTTTTTCAAAAATTTTTGAACGCATTGTTTACATTCAGGTCTATAAATATCTGGAAAATAATCAACTATTTGATAAAGAACAACATGGCTTTCGGCAGGGCAAATCAACAATAACAGCTGGTATTGAATTCATAGAATCTATAATAAATGCTGTTGACAGAGGAGAAAATGTTGTAGGAATCTTTTTGGATCTTAGTAGGGCATTTGACAGCGTGTCACATAGTATATTGTTGACTTCACTAAAAGAAATGGGAATCTATGGAAAAGAACTTGCATGGTTTACATCATATCTAGAAAATAGAAAACAATTTGTTGAATTGGATTATGTTGTGGAGCATGCAAGCACTAAGTACGTTGAAAAATGTAGATCTCAGCATCAGACGCTGAAATATGGGGTGCCGCAGGGATCGATCCTGGGGCCTCTACTTTTTCTCTGCTATATTAGAGGTATGCCAGGAGCAATTCCTGGAAACGGCGGGTCTATGTGTCTGTTTGCTGATGATTGTAATGTGCTGGTTCCGGGAAGATCAAAAGAACAGATTGAAACGTTTTCTCAGGGGAGTCTTTTATCCACTAAAGAATTCCTTGACCGAAAAAATCTGCTTATTAACACAGAAAAATCCAATTTTATATCATTTTCCACTAAACAACGTAGATAAAATTTTGAACCAAACATTTGCATAAAATCAGAAAGAATAAACCAAGTAAAGCAAACAAAATTTCTTGGTCTAATTATCGATAAACATCTATCTTGGGAGGGCCATGTGAATTATGTGGTTAAAAAGGTATCTTCCGGTATCCATGCTCTGCGACAGATGTTCAGAGTATGCAGTGTAGACACTCTAAGAGTTGTTTATTTCTCATTAATTCATTCACATATTTCATATGGAATTGTTCTATACGGGGCAACAACAAAAACTAATTTAGATAAAGTACTAATTAAGCAGAAAAAAGCTATCAGGGTGATGAAAAATCTAAAAAGAAAGAGCCAGTCAAGAGCATCTTTCGTGAATTACAAATATTAACAGTTTATAGTCTTTATATTTATGAAACAATAATTTATGCAAAACAGATCCAACTATCATCCAGCTCAACAGAACAATTAGTATATAACACCAGATTAAAAATTAACCTACCTCGGCATAATCTTGAATTTTACACTAAAAAGACATCTTACATAGGGCTAAAATTTCTCCAGTCTATACCAGCTCACATCCGAAAAGAAACCAAATTTAATAAATTCAAGCAGCTCTTAAACGAATATTTTTTAAGAACTCCCTGCTACTCAGTAACAGAATTCTTTAGTATTAGTAAAAAACAGTTAGGCCTAACTTAATTTGAATTCCAAATACTGTAATCCTTAAAGTCATGATTTTGTTAAAAGTTAAAGTAAAGTAATTTTAGTACTCTTTTTATGTATTTAATTAGCAGTAAGCAATTTTGAATTTAGCTCATGACTCTATTCAAGTTCATGTAATGTGAAACTATAATGAATAAAGAATGTTTTGACTTTGACTTTGAACCAAGGAGACTAGTGCGCTTGCGCGTAACATCGTTATTAACGCTGTGCCGGCGATAGAATAAAACAGTACTTACTTTCTGGACAAGCCCCATACTATATATTTAAGCAGTTTATTTCTCATCTATTATTTCGATTTTCAAATAAAAACTGTAAATGTGATCAGCTTAAAATTAAAATTATAATAATATTTTTTTACATAAGGCAATAATTATTTTCATAGATAATGAAGGTTATGTATTGTCAGAAATATTTGCAGTATTGTAGGCCTACCATCTAAAAAATATTACTGTACACATCATATAATTGGAGACAGTGGGAATATATATATATTCTAGAGTAAAAAAAGAGAAAACATTTTGTCAACAAACTCCATAATTTTGACTCTATAGAATAACGATAATAAATCCATGTTATTTAATTTTTGGATTCATTAAGATGCTTGTGGCCGGAGAAAGAAAAAAGTTAATATTCGTCATACTGCAGCAAAAACAGTCGTTTTTAATAGCTTGCAGGCCTAAAAAATTTCTTTTACTTTCTAAGGAGTAAAGGTCAGCTGTTGTTAACACAGTTGTAAACTTTGATTGTAAGCAATCGAATGAATCAAAATTTAGTATCGCTCGTTTTAATCGATTGTAGATTATTGTTCCATTTTTGTTAACAGATCGATGCTATAATGTACACACAATCGTAATAGTCAAAATAACTGAATCACTTACTAAACAGCTGCTTGTTTGCATCAGCTAAATTGAAAACGAGTTAAAAGTTGTTTTGAGAGTTTATCTTTACATGAAATGTATTGTTGTTTTCTAACATAGTTTGCTTAAATAATGGTGCAATATGACAAAAAATAAAGTTCATCACACGGGCAAAAAGTGTCATTTCAACTCTCACTCATTTTCTGACCTTGGCTTCACCTCAGTCTTGAAACCTGAGCTCAGGTCGAATAGAGTCTCTACACCCTAGTGATGAAATATACTATTAGTTGGTTGGATCAAAATTCTCTTGCTACTTTTATTGGATTACGAGTTTTCAGATTATCATTATTAACCCTGCAGTGGTAACGCACGGTCTCCAAGACCGACGCAAAGTTCAGTTGTAGTTAACCATTTCCCCGAAAAGTTGTGTTCGCTGCCGCTCGAGTTATGCCTCCTTTTAGTGTACCTTCAGCTGCTGAGGTGGAATTTTGAAGTTAAGTTGTAGTGTGCAGCAGCTTTCAATGGTCCCCTGCATCGACGTTACAAAAAGTGTGAGCGGTCTGGTACACCTACGTCACCATATGGGTTCTGGCAAATGTATTTATCCCGAATGGCAAAATACATTGTACATAGTATTACATTACTATATATTATTGATTACGTCTTAGAAAACCCTTTTTCATTGTTTGACATTACTATACTACAAATTTTAGGAACATTTAATAATAAACGGCCCCACAGACCGACGTTACTTAAATAGGGACTTTGCATATTTGCATATTGACTAATTACCTAAAAATAAGTAGGTACGGTACACAATTTTTTTTTCAAAACACAATTTCAATATTTTATCCAGTGTTGGGGAAGCTACTTTTAAAATGTAGCTAGCTACAACTACTGCTACATTTCCAAAAAAGTAGCTTAGCTACAGCTACAGCTACAGTTCCGAAAAAGTAGCTAGCTACAACTACATCAGCTACAATGAAATGTAGCTACAGCTACAATTTTAGCTACTTTTCCAAATACATTACTTTTTATTCCACGCACATTAGGTAAATGTAAAATTAATTGCAACAACATTTTTATTGAACAAACATTTAAACAAAAAATGTCAGTATTGTATCTAACCAAGGCCCCACTAGAAAAAACAATTACTTGGAAAACAAATTATTCCTAGATTGTATTTAATTTGTTGGCATTATAAAACTAACATTACAACAACAGTACCAAATAGTTGGGTGTCCCATCATATTTAGTACTTATTTTTAAATATTGCATTATTTTTAAGCATCTTATATGTAAATTTCATTAAGTTCAAAGGACATACAACCAAACTATATTTTAAAAGCTCATTTTATTTATTTAATATAGGCTAGATTCATTTATAGATGTCTTATATCAACAATTAAGACCATAAAAGGGTAAAACGATTATTTAAAAATACTTTTTTGTGTTACAGAGCCTAGCCTACTGAAATTGGAGTTTATTGCCTTTCTTTACTTTTTAATGTTAAAAACGACATTGCCATAACTTTTAACCATAATGATAAGTTACTTATTCTATGAATAACACTTTTCAATGTCAATAAATCGTCCTTTATGCTCATTATGCATAGGGCAAATTGTGCTTCAACCTAATTGGTACAGAAAACAGTATTCAGCAACTTATCCTGAAATCGGCTTTTAATTTAAACATGTTGAAATTTGTAAAGTAAAAATAACATGTAGGCCTACTTGGCTATGTAACAAGTAGGCTTGTTCATGCAAGGACTAAACAGATATATTCCTAATAATTGAACTTGGAACTTTGTATTCGTCTTAAACCATAGCATAGCCTAGGAATAGTCCTATTACAAGAGCTGTTAGCAGGAGCAAACTATGCTATTTTTTCAATGCAATTTTCATGTTATATGGAGATTTTTTCGTTACAATTATCATGTAGTCTAGGCATATCTTAAATCTCATCAGGTAATTTCCTCTTTATTAATTTAGGCTAGTAAACCTTTGAAAAATCTTCGTAATCTAACCAAGGAAGGGCTTGTGATGATAAACCACAATCAACAGCTGAAGCAAAGGTTGATAGACCAGCTTTCTCATTATTTTAAGGTTTAGTGTTGGTTTCCATTAAAACCCAAGTTGAAACACTATCGATATAATAAGGAAACTAAATTGATTACTAATTTCCCTGTCAATCACTTGCAAGCATTCAATAGCTTCTCTTGTCACCGGTAACGTTTAAACGTCGTGTACTCGTCTGTATCTAGCGATTTTATTTTATCTGACAGTAATCATAGAGTAGTAAATTAAGGAAATGAGAGCCAAAAATGTGGATAACACTCAATTAATGGCCTCCATGTCCACACAACATTGTAATAGGGAATGAAACGGCTGCAACCAGCTGTATGAAGCCAAGAAAGTAGGCCTAATTTTTTTGAAAATCTCAGTTTGAAAGAGGTTGTTTCACGTAAGGTTGAGGTTATGATAAAAATCACTATCTCAAACAATGTTAATGTAGCGAGAAAAGTAGCTAAAATTCCGCTACAACTACTTTAAAAATGTAGCTAGCTACAGCTAAAGCTACAAAATTTTAAAAGTAGCATAGCTACAGCTAACGCTACAAAAAAAGTAGCGCGCTACTGTAGCGTCGCTACTTGTAGCGCGCTACTTCCCAACACTGATTTTATCTACGTAAAAAATATTTATGTGAAAGTTGATCTCACAGAACGACATCACCAGTTGAAGCCACAAAATAACGGCACCACTGCAGGTTTAATATCAACTGGTACAAATGCAATTAATTTTATTTAAAGCCCCCGTAATAAATCTACAATGTTTTACATTTTTATGTTTGTCTTACAAAGTTGAGGAGAAGGCCCACAATGTCCAAGCACTTGTACTGCACAGCCAGATGTAGAGCTGTGTTGCCTTGCTTTCTTTCAGGCAAGTTGAGAACAGTCGTTACAGAGTTGAACCTCTCGGTCTCATTTTTGACGAGAATACTTGAAATAGCGTCAAATTTTCTTTTGATCACCAACAAGTGTAGTGCTGTAAGCCCTGAAATATATTGTTAGATTGGTCGTAAGGTCTTCACATTATGAACCTGTATTTATTCACTATAAAATACTACTATATAAGTCCTTGCACCCAAAGTTATCACTTAAATTTTTCAAGGGAAACAACTGTTAAAATACAGTCCAACCTTGGTATAACGAATCTGAACAGACCGAACTGAATATTTGTTATATCAAGGATTTCGTTATATTGAGGTTAGGTTTGCAGAAATTTCACCATGTCGAGTTTCAGAATTAGCATCGGTCAATATAGGTATATTTGACCTCTTTTAAACCCAATTAAGGAGCACATAGGCTACTTATTTACAGTTCAGTATTGACATTGTAAAATAGAACCTTTATTATCCGGGGTAATAAGGTGGTGGGAGACTACGGATAGTGAAACCCACGGTTAATCCAACATGGTATAAAAAGATGACAAACCCATAAAAACACTGTAATAGTGTGTAAATTAAAAGGGCTATTAATGTCAATTTAATTTTTAATTTTAATTTTGTATCAACACAACGCAATACAATATTGCATAATCATGACATTTCAAGTTATTGACATTGGTTCAGTATACAAACTGTAACGTTTAAAATTACAGCTAAAATCCACCCACCTAAAACCCACCCAGAATCTAGCCAAACACATAAAGAACAAAAAAAACAGTACAGTAGAACCCCTCATATCCGGCCTTGGTTTTACCGGTCCTCTGTTTATCCGGCCCCTTCAAGAAGCCATTATCAAAATGTTTTTCTCACAGCTTACGGACGTTTAGATGCAAGCACTAGTCTTTGTGACCGCTCAAGTCATAAAATAAATTGTTCTCTTTACTTATCTGTTTGTATATACATTTATTTGCTGAGTCACTATACTCAGTTGAGCTAGAAGGCCTAACCTCTGATCAGTTGGTTGATTATTTCCAAAGTGGGGTTAGTACAGTACAATACATTAATTTTTGTATTTCACAAAATAAGAATGTTGAGTAGAAATGCATGTACCATTTAAGTCCTAATTATCTTCAAGTACAATTTATTGTCATTTTTACCTCCATTTAATAGGGTTTGTTACCTGGAATCATAATATTTGTACATTCATTACTTAATGACTTAAACCTACAAATATTTTTTTTTCTTTTTACAAACATGTTTATTTTTCTAAAAATGATCCCAGAACAGAATTAAATGATACTTTTGATTGCATATATTGATTACCTATTATTATTAGGTATAAATTGTCATTTTCATAGTAGGTTGGTTTATCCGGCCAGGGGCTTGGTCCCGTGGTGGCCGGATATAAGGGGTTCTACTGTAGAGAGTAAGCAACTGTTTGCGATAGGCCAATAGGCTACCGTAGTGCTTCATCACAACAGAGCAATGTCAATAATAATTATCAACTATATCATTGGTGTTGCCTTAGTTGAAAAAAGTTTATTGAAAACAATAACTTTAGATTAGTAACAATAACTTTTAGATAAGTCATAAATGTGTTAATCATAGCCTACTCAAAGATAATAAAACACTCGTAATAAAAATAACGATGTTGCTATTTTTTCTCTTTGTTCTCATATCCTTTCTTAGGTTTCTCTTCCGTCGCCACAGTTACTTATCACCCAACCGCAGTTTACTAAGCATTACATCCGTCATTCTTCAGTGAATAATATCAGTTGTGACATAGCGCTCAGCAAACAGATGTGTTACATGGAGCAGATGAATGTTAGTGCAAGCGTTGACACCACCTTTCCATTTCTTCTGGGTATAAAATAACATAAAAAAACTGGAACCAGGGTGTCTAGTTTATTTTCATCATAAAATTCAAGACTAATTCCAGACTTTTCAAGACTAATTCCAGATTTTTCAAGACTTAGTGGGCATTGATACCAAAATGTATCGATTCTCGATTGTTGATACCGATATTAATTTTTATAGCTTAACCAAATTTTCTAAATAATACTACACCAACCCCTGTCTTTGTCATTTATTCATTTATTCATTTATTCATGTAAATTGTCACAAATTACACCATATACAGAGGAGTTTCCTCAATGGTAGATGACATGTCAAAAATATGATACAAAAATGTTAAAAACTAAATTAATGTAACTTAAACATAATGAGAAAACAAACTCTCCACATGAACCATTTTACAAACCACTATTACTATATAAAATGAAATCCTCTACTGAATAAAACATATGGCTCCTTAGATAGTTAACAAGTTTTCTTTTAAATGCTTTGGCAGAAGATTCATTGCGAATATGAGAAGGTAGTTTATTAAATAATCGGCTGCCTGTATAGAATGGTGTCTTTTCAAAAGCTGCTGTTCGATGTATCGGCAAAGAAAGATTGCATTGACTTTCTGCAGGCGTTTTTTGTATATGGATACTGACTCCCTCATGAATCGAATCGATTTTGGATCACCACGTATGTTTATTGTCATAAAGTAGTATTACAGGGTGTATACTATTTTATTAAAGTGAAATTCCAGGTTTTTTCCAGGTTTTTTCCAGGTTTTTCGAAGTTTTTCCAGGTTCCCACGTATTTGTTTGGTTCCACTTAAACTATAATCAATTTAAGACTTGCAGCCTAAGAATACAATATAAACTTGCATTAAATTTGTTTCAAAGTCCAGTGAGCTTAATTTGAGAAAGTAATAATCCTTATTATAGTAATAATTTTCATTATCATCATTTCTTAAGTCCACGGAAACATCGTCTCTCTCGATAGCAGCAAAATCGTTAATATTATCTTCATTTTTTATGAACACATTATCAACGGCGGCTAAATCCTGAATATTTCCTGCGGTCGTGTGGTCGCTTCCCACGGTGACATAAACATCATCACAGTATTACGTTACCATAGAACAATCCTGGACATCTCCCGCGGTATGTATACATTATCGCCATCTCTCGCGATCACGAAAACGTAATCATCGTCATCCACGATCGTGGCAAAATCACGAAAATCTTCCGCGGCCGTGTGGACATCATCATTGACTCCCACGGTCACGTAAACGTCATCGTCATCGACCGCGATCACGGCAAAATAACGAAAATGTTCCGAGGCCGTGTAGACACCATCATTGACTCCCGCGGTCACGGGAACGTCATCGTTGTCGTGCGCGATCTCAACAAAATCATGAATGTTTCCCGCGGCAGTGTAAACATCATTGTCGTTGTCCGCGATCGCGGCTAAATCATGAACATCTGCGGCCGTGTAGACAAAATCATCGTCGTCTTTCGCGGTCACGGCAAATCACGAATATCTTCCGCGGCCGTGTGGACATCATCATAGCCTCCCGCAGTCACGGAAACGTCATCGTCGTCATCGTCCGCGATCTCAGTAAAATCATGAATATTTCCCGCGGCAGTGTATACATCATCGTTTAGCCCGCGGTCACGGAAACGTCATCGTCGTCGGCCGCAATCACAGCAAAATCATGAGCATATCACGCGGCCGTGTAGATATCATCATCGTCGTCTTTCGCGGTCACGGCAAATCACAAAAATCTTCCGCGGCCGTGTAGACATCACCATTGCCTCTCGCAGATACGAAAATGTCATCGCCGTCTACCGCGATCTCGGCAAAATCATAAACAACTGCGGCCGCGTAGACATAATCATCGTCGTCTCCCGCGGTCACGGAAACGTCATCGTCGTCATCGTCCGCGATCTCAGTAAAATCATGAATATTTCCCGCGGCAGTGTATACATCATCGTTTAGCCCGCGGTCACGGAAACGTCATCGTCGTCGGCCGCAATCACGGCAAAATCATGAGCATATCACGCGGCCGTGTAGAAATCATCATCGTCGTCTTTTGCGGTCACGGCAAATTACGAAAATCTTCCGCGGCCGTGTAGACATCATCATTGCCTCTCGCAGATATGAAAATGTCATCGCCGTCGTCCGCGATCTCGGCAAAATCATGAATATTTCCCGCGGCAGTGTATACATCATCGTTGACCCCGCGGTCACGGAAACGTCATCGTCGTCTCCCGCGGTCACGGAAACGTCATCGTCGTCTCCTGCGGTCACGGAAACGTCATCGTCGTCTTCCGCGGTCACGGAAACGTCATCGTCGTCTCCCGCGGTCACGAAAACGTCATCGTCGTCGCCCGCAATCGCGACAAGACGCATTTTACGACTACAATCTTCTACCGGGGCTAAAATAAAAATCCCGGATTCGGTCCAAAAATCCCGGCTTTTTCCCGGTTTTTTCCAGGTCCCTTCAAATTCAAGGTTATTTCCCGGTTCTCCCGGTTTTCCCGGTTGGTATACACCCTGCATGATAATGTGGGGTTTTAAGTAAAGAAATAATGCAGCAATAAAAAATTTTAACTAGCAATTTTGGTTGTTTTTTTATCATGAAATCTTCCGCGTACCGTACGTTTAGACATCATCATTGACTGCAGCGGTTACAGAAACGTGATCGTCGTCGTCCGCGCGGCAAAATCATGAACATTTCCTGCGGCTGTTTAGACATCACCGTCATCTCCCGCGGTCACGGAAACGTCATTGTCATCACCTGCGGTCATGGAAACGTCATCCTCGTCGTCCGCGATCGCGACAAAATCATGAACATTTCCCGCGGCCGAGCAGATATCATCATCGTCTCCCTCAGTCACGGAAACGTAATCGTCATCTCCCGCGGTCATGGAAACATCATCGTCGTCGTCCGCGATCGCGGCAAAATCATGAACATTTCCCGCGGCTGTTTAGACATCACCGTCATCTCCCGCAGTCACGGAACTGTTATTCGGAACTGTTATCGTCGTAGTCCGCGATCGCGGGAAAATCCTCAGAACATTTCCCTCGGCCGTGTAAACATCATCGAAATGTCCCACGGTCGCCGAAATGTCATCGTCGTCTCCCGCGGTCACGGAAACGTCATCACCGTTGTCCACGATAGCGACAAAATAATGAAAATTTCTTGCGGCCGTGTAGACATCATCATTGACTCCCACGGTCACGGAAATGTCATCGTCATCTTCCACGGCCACAGAAACGTCATCGTCGTCTCCCGTGGTCACGGAAACGTCATCGTCGTCCTCCGCGATCGTGGCAGAATCATGAGAACACTTCCCTCGCCCGTGTAAACATCAACGTCATCTCCCGCGGTCACGGAAACGTTATCGTCCTCTCCCGCGGTCACGGTGACGTTATCGTTGTCCCCAGCAGTCACGGAAAGGTCATCGTCGTCTCCCGCGGTTTCGGAAACGTCATCGTCGTCGTCCACTATCGCGCCAAAACCGTGAACATTTCCCGAGGCCGTGTAGACATCATCATCATTAGCTTTCGCGGTTACGTAAACGCAAGACGACGATCGCGGCAAAATCATGAAAATTCCCAACTTTGAAATCAAATTTAAGACTAAATCCCGAATTTTCAAGACCATTTTGAAATTCAATACTAATTCCCGATTTTCCCGACTACTAGACGTGGAACCAAAGAAAAGAAAACCTATGTTTCTGCAAAGTAGGGGTGTGCGATGCATCAAAATTCAGTGGTGATCAAAAATCGATTCGATTCATGAGGGAGTCAGTATCCATATACAAAAAACGCCTGCAGAAAGTCAATGCAATACCCGCAATACAGGAGCGTGTTGTTGTTGCGTTTCCTTTTCGAAGGCGTTCTTATATAATTAATTCTTTGCTTGTAAATATTGCTTTAATTGTTTTATAATTTTCTTTTTAAATTGCAAATGAAGAGAAGTTTTGTTAAGTGTAAGCAGTGTGAGACATGTTTTACTACTGTAAACATGGCCAAACAAAAGTCACTCCAGAATCATTCTAAAAATAACACAAGTCTGAAAAATTTGTACTTGACACTAGTAAGATTGAGGTTTTAGACTGATAAATTTGGTGTTTTTGTAGGTCTGCTATGTATACCTTGTAGTTTGTAGGTCTGATTCTATCCTCTCATTTTATCAATGTAAACCAATTATTGAAAGTTTAAGTTTAAATCTTGCAAAGGTTTTTATTTGTTTACACAAAAACAAATCTTTATTTGTAAAATCAATATTATAAAATAGGTAATATGCTTAACAATATGATTCTGCAAGTAAAAATTATGAAATTGGCAAGTAAAGCAGCTCACTGACATTTCCAGCAACACAGGTTCTTCTAATATATGATTGAAAATTAATATTTTTTCACCTAAAGTTTATATATGTCATATGTATGAATAGGCCTAATACCACATCAACAAAAATGTGCGTTAAACAAATGTGGTAAATTTAATTAGCCTATTGCTATTTCACTCCATTGACAAGTATGAAAAAGCCGTATTGCTTCGAATCGAGTTACATCGATTCAAATTGAAAATATTTTGAATCAAATCGTTGCTTCAAAACAAACATTTTTTTCTGCCTTGCACACCCCTACTGCGAAGTACGGTTCATTCCTCAGCACCAAATTTAAAAACATAATGGATAACAATAGAATTACAGTCTCATTCAAAACTGATAATAAACTTGGATCTTTGTTAAAAAAAAACCTCCCCAGACACCTAAAGCAATCTTTGAAAAAACTGGTGTATACCAAATCAATTGTAGTGATTGTCCAAAGTATTACATAGGCCAGACATTTTAGGATCTATTTTAGTAAAAGGTTTAAAGAACATCTACCGAAAAAGACTACAGATGCACAAACTTCGATCTTCACAGAACACCTGGTTTCTCTCAACCACAAAATCCTACACCTATATCAAACGACCGATTCAATAGAAACACATTGGAAGAATTCAAAATCTATAGGGCCGTTAAATTTGACAGCCAAAACATGATCAACAACAGGATTTTGTTCCAATCCAATTGCATATACGACACTGCAATTAAGATACTGGAGCTAGTTGTAAATGAAACTATCAGCTGATCGGGAAATCCAGGCACGACGTCATCATTGACCACGTTGATCCTGACCGGCAGTCTAGACATAGCTCCCGCCCGATCACATCGTGTCCCGTAGGCCTAACATTTCAGTATTTTTTAGCACTAGATGTTCCTATTTATGTCTGTGTACGTGTTTTGTTTATTTATTTATTATAAATTGACGACCTTTGAATGAAGCGACAAGACATCTTTAACAACCTGAAGATAAGTACATTTTTGTATTATCCACCTGATGATGCTACAGTTATAGCGAAACATGTCATGGTGAATAATCTTGCTAAGGAACTGTTGACACAGGGTAAATAGCCTTTGCCTACACGCACTTCTTTTTTGTATTTAGACGGAAACCTCAGTCGTCTTGTACAAATATAGAGACCACACAAACTAGGTTGTTAAGCAAATAGTTTACCGTCTTTGTTGTAAATTGTCAAATCTGGAGATTTTTTTAGAAGGTGACCAATAACATTACAGATGTCTGGCTGTCCTCTGTTGGCCACCAGGTGGAGAGGAGTGTTGAGATTTATATCTCTTGCGTTCACATCTGCTCCACTGTCTACCAGGAGAGCTATTGTTTGTAAACTGCCCCTCTCTACAGCTACGTGCAATGCAGTCTAAACACAATAAACAAAACACTTTGATGAACCAACTCCCTGATTTACGGACAAGTTAATTAACATAGCATTAACATTGGTGTAACATAGCAAATAATCAATTACTAAAATAATTAATTTGTTTGCTATCTACTTATTATCAAATTTAATTTGAGTTTCAATTATGAGTTATAACAAAAAAACCATTCAAATAAAAATAATTAGATGATAAAAGAAGTTTGTTAGGGTTACCATATTTTTGGAACAAAAATCTACGTAAAATTGCCTTAAATTCATAGTTTTATAGCTACAATTATGTATTATGAATATATAACATAGTAGCTGTCATCAAACAATTTATTATATTAATGTTCTTCAGACATGGACATTTTAGGCGTGCATTATATCAATGGTATTTTCTTAATCAGAAACACACATGACATGAAACCCAATACAACTAAAACGTAAAATCTGAAGCAATAATATTAAAGTGAATAAATCTTGATTTCAAAACTGATAGGGACAAGGTGGTGATTGTCACCACCCAGCTCATGAGAGGTATTCACTATCCAGAGAGTAACAGCCTACCAGCAGTTACTAATGCACTTGTAACTTTTGTACTTAGGCCTAAATAATAATCAGTAGGGGTTTAATAGGTTGCTGATTGAAGTGAAAGTTCTTTTTGCAATACATTACAAACTGATTGCAATTAATTGTAGAATTTTAAATTAGTGATGGGCGGATCCAAGAAAATGTCGGTACCGGATCCGGATCTTGAAAAAATCGGATCCGGATCCGGATCTTCTGTAAAAATAGGTTTTTTTCTTTTTTCAAGGGTGGGTTTTGTAAAATAATTCATATGGCTAGGCAATGTCAAAGACTAACTGTGTCCATGTAAAAAACACTTAATATGTGTCGTTATTGAAAACAAAGCCATCACAGTTCTACGTTGCGCAATGATTATCTGATTATTCTGATTATCGATCGTAATTTTGAGGAGATACGAAAGAGACAAACTACCACCTATCGCGTTGTCTTTTTAACACAGCTATTCGTATCGTAATCTACAACGCAGTGCGAGTGCGTGATTGGCTAGTCGCTATGACGACACACGGTTGCCGTGACAACCTACAGTGCGCACTGAGTACTGCGCCTTGTGTGGGAGGGATGATTATGCCAACAAACTATTTCAGGAATTCCATTTTGGGACGGATGAAAGATAAGTAAGAAACAAAAAGTGGTCACGTGTGTAAAATGTAGTGGGCGAGACAATAAGGCTATAAACGAGTATTGTCGCGTCGGTGTTCCTTGTTTGTTTACTTTTTCAGATTCCCTATCAAACGCCCCTATCTGCTATCTCTCTCTCTCCCAGGGTGTCCACAGAAAATTTGCCATTGATTTCCATGATTATCCATGACCATTTACCATTGATTTCCATGACTCACTAACTTTACTCGAAAATTATAATGTAACATACACACACAAAATACTGCCTAGAAAAGTTATTTAAGAGAAAATACTGAAATATATATTAACAGGTAACAATGGAGTAATACATTTTGTAAAAATATGGTATTCAAAATATGGAAGGAAAAAAGAAAACCCAATCTACTCCGTCCCCATAGCTGGCCAAGTTCACTGTCCACTTTCCTTTTTCCTTACTGTATACTTTTTATTATTAATTTGTTTATGAGTTTACAGTGTTAACAAAAATGAGCTTAACAAAAAAGACATAACTTAAGACAAATCAAAACATTATAACAATATTTGTATTGCAATTTGAGTTGTAATAATGAAGTTGTAACATTTTAATATACTGTACCTACACTACTGTTGCAATAATATCCTAAAAATATTAAATTAAATTATAAGATAAAGTAGGTACAGTGTTTTTTAATGCGGGTTGAAAAATAGCAAATTGGTGAAAATTAAATGGTAAAGAAGGAGAGAGCAAAAGAGGTTATGACTCACCCTACATACTCAAATCAAGTGGGCTGAACTCAATCCTCTTCTAGCTAGAGTAGAATATCCTCAGCTTGTTTTTTAGTGCTCATGAAAGGCAGGTATTAGACAGGATTATGGAGTATGTGTGTGCAGTGGAATTGCCAAGAAATAAAGTTTGAAATACTAAACAAACCGCCCACCAAAACTGAAAGTTTTCTTTCTTCTCAAAAGGTAATTAAAATTCATGAGCTTGCACAAAAAAAACTACTTCCTTTTTTTGTTTTAAAAATGCAATTAAAATTTCTTCTCAATGGAAAAAGTCTTCTCTTCTTCAAATAAATAAAATAACATTTTGTAAAAATCTTCAAGTACTTGAAATTAAAAGTAAAAAACAAAAAAATCTCTTCTTGAAAACAAAACTTGTGATTTGACTTATTCTTTGGGTAGTGGACACAATTTAACCACTGGTCGTGTTAATTGTCCAGAAGAAGTTCGTAACGTTACAACTCTAACTGTATGGTCTTTTCCTGGATGTACAGCAACAATTCGTCCAGTAGGCCAGTAAAGAGGAGGTAGGTTTGGATCCTTTATGAGAACAAGGTCTCCTACTTGAAGATTTTGAATATGTTGAGTCCACTTCCTGCGCTGTTGGAGATGATGTAAATATTCCGAGCTCCATCTCCGCCAAAAATGTTGAGTTGCTTGTTGGACAAGTTGCCATTTAGTCAATCTATTGAGTTTAATATCTGTCACATCCGGTGAAGGTACTGCAGTTAACGCTTCACCAATCAAGAAATGCCCTGGAGTGAGGACATTATTTTCATTTGGATCAGGTGATAGTGGGGAAAGAGGTCTCGAGTTCATCACTGCCTCTACTTCAGCAAACAAGGTAGAAAGTTCTTCGAACGTGAAGATTTGGATGCCTATCACTCGTCTGAGATGATATTTTGCCGACTTTACCGCGGCCTCCCAGATTCCTCCAAAGTGTGGAGCCGAAGGAGGATTAAAGTGCCATTGTACTCCTTTATCAGTCAAACTCTTTTGAATAACCTCTGAAACAGGTGATTTAGATAGAAGCTTGTGCATTTCGGTAAGGTCTTTAGCAGCGGCAACAAAGTTAGTACCCATATCACTGTAAACATCATGTGGAAGACCTCGACGAGCAGTGAATCTTGAAAATGAAGCCAAAAAATCCTTTGCGGAAAGACTGGAAACTGCCTCTAAGTGCACGGCCTTGGTTGACATACAAATATAAATGCATAAATATGATTTTGTAAGCTGCGATTTTCTTAAAGCATTTGATTTGGTTTGAAAGGGACCTGCAAAATCTATCCCACATGACAGAAAGGGACGGCTACATTGTAGACGAACAGCGGGCAAGTCAGACATGAAAGGTTGCGGGAGTGAGGCTCGAAATCTTGTACACTGGACACATTTTGACAATCGTTTCCTGATAGTATTTCGAGCAGAACAAATCCAAAATTCCTTTGAAAGAATGGATTGCAAGAGCTTAGGCCCTGCATGCAAATAAACCTTGTGATAACTGTCTATTATAAGAGCGGTCAGATGTCCTTCTTTCGGAAGAAGTGACGGGTGTTTGTTCTGAAACGCTAAAGTTGAGTGCCGTAGTCTACCGCCCACCCTGATAACTCCATCTTCATCAAGAAATGGGTCTAGGCGAAGAATTCCTTGTGATTTGGCTAAGCCCTTGGTGTGTAGAGAAATTAAATCAGAGGGAAAATACTTCTGTTGGATGTTCTTGATCCAAATAATTAATGCATCATTTAGTTCACTAACAGTTAACAATCCCTTAAGTTTTTTAGACTTGCAATTCTGGTAGAATCGTAAACACCAAGAAGTAATTCGTTTTAACTGTGAAAGCGATGAGAATCGTTCTAGAACAGTGAGATCAACAGTAGGTTCCTCTGTGGTCAAAGCACACAAAACTTTACGAAGTTCTGGGACATCCTCTTGGGTCTTGTTCACAATATCTTGCGGAGGCCAGAGTTCTGAAGCCGTTAAAAGCCAAGGTGGTCCGCTCCACCAGAAAGGATGATGGATGATTTCATGAGGAAATATACCCCTTGATGCACAATCAGCAGGGTTAGACTCGCCAGGAGCATGGAACCATAAAGTAGGACTGGTGCTTTCTTGAATTAAAGATACCCGATTCCCCACAAAAGTTTTCAAAAGATGAGGCGAGGTATGGATCCAATTAAGAACAACAGTAGAATCTGTCCAGGCATACGTTTTCCACTTTAAATTCGGAATTTGCATCAAAAATGATTTGCAGAAATCTAACAATTTGGTTAACAGTACAGCTCCGCACAATTCCAATCGTGGAATGGAAATCCTCTTCAAAGGGGAAACGCGAGACTTTGCAATGACCAGATGTGTTGAAACCGAAGAGTCGTTATGTGTAACACGAAAGTAGACTGCTCCAGCAAATCCTTGTTCTGATGCATCACAGAAGCCATGGACTTGAAGATCGGTGAAGGTCTTCGGTAAAACAAGTCGTGGAATAAATATTTCTTTCAAACATGAAAATTCTTGTGCAAAGCAGGTCCACTGACATTGTATCTCATGGCTAGGAAGATCATCCCAGTTAAGACCTTCTGTCCAAAGTTGTTGGATTAACTGTTTTGCCCACAATACCACAGGGGTCAGCCAGCCTAAAGGGTCAAAAATGCGTGATGTTTGAGATAAAATATTTTGTTTGGTTGGAGGACAATCCATAGTATCAACATTGTACTTAAACACATCCAGAGAGGGAAGCCATTGTAAGCCAAGAATTTTTTTTACAGAATGTTGGTCGACATCGAATGACATTGGTTTGTCTTGACAATCAACAGGAATGTCTGATAAAAATTCTGAGTTGTTACTACTCCATTTCTTTAACTCAAAACCTCCTTTGGCAAAAATATGTTCAAGTTCTGATTTTATACATTTAGCTGTTTGTAGGTCGGAGGTACCAGTTACTAGGTCATCAACAAACATGTCATTGCGTATGACTTGTGACGCAAGAGGATAATTTGACCCTTCATCATTAGCAAGTTGCAAAACTGTGCGCATGGCAA